CCCCGGCCACTCAGCTCCGCAGCCACCCGTGAACCGGCCGCGGGCGCAGAGCGGCGTGGGCCGTGTCCCCGGAGGCCGGACGTGCTCCCCGCCCACAGCCCCGTCAGGAGCCTGACACCACAGTGGGGCCCGGGAGGAAATGGCAGAGAGCCGGGGAAGTGCCTCGGACAAGTGGGAAAATGTGCCCAGGCGTGAGGGCCGCCGCCGCCTCGGCAGGGAGCGCACAGCGCCGGGCCGGGGCCAGCGCTGCTTCCCGCCGACCTCGCGGCCGTAGGGGGCCCCGCGTCACTCACCGACACGGCTCGAGCTGCCGAAACCCGCTTGCGCCAGCGCGGGGCTCCCCTTCCAGCAGGCTGCCGGACACCCCGCTCGGCCAGCGGGGCTGCCTCTGGGTTCCGGTTCTCGCGGTCACGGCAAACCGTCACCGCGACGGGACGGTCCCCGTGCCCAGGACGCCCCCGTCCCGGGACTCGGGCACAACCGGCCCCTGATGAAATACAACTTCTACTCGGTGCTCGGATCTGGCCTCCGTCTCACCACCCCATTACCTGGGCCACAGGCTCCTGCCCCGACCCCTGGAAACGCATCAAGCCCCATGGCGAGCGCCGGCCACGGTGCCCTGCGCCACCCGCAGGAGGTGCAGCTGCCGGGTGGCAGCGCTGACAGACCGGCCCGCCCTGCCGGCCCAGCCGCCGGCCCCCACAGTCCCCATTAGGTCACTCACCAGGGAGCCAGAGCCCACTCAGAGGCGCGGTGACCCTGAGGAAGCTGCAGCCTGGAGGGGCACAAGCCCACCTTCATCACAGCGCTGCGACGGAGCAGGCCCAGCTCACCTGGCCGGGGGGGCTCGCGGGCGGCACTGGGCGTGGGGGCGCCGCGGGCAAGAAGAGCCTCGGCTCTGGGGGTGTCGCACCCCGTCGTCAGCGCGGGCCCGCGTGCACATTCGGGCCAGCCTCTGCCATCCTGCTCCACCTGTGCTGCTGGGTGTCGCCGGCAAGGCAGCTCCCCCCGGCCGGCCCCCAAACGCCAAACTCCGCAGGCGTCGGTAAGAAGGGTAACGGGGCGCGAAGCTACCGCCAGCGTGGCAAAGTGGACGGCAGCGCCGGCCGAGAGCCCGAGGCACGACCGCGCCGGCCTGGGGCCCTGGAAGCGCG